GTAACCGCGGTCCGCAGTCGGTAGTGAAATAAGTAAGCATATAACTAAGTGTAACCGCGGTCCGCAGTCGGTAGTGAACTGAATAAGCATATAACTTAGCGTAACCGCGGTCCGCAGTCGGTAGTGAAATAAGTAAGCATATAACTAAGTGTAACCGCGGTCCGCAGTCGGTAGTGAACTGAATAAGCATATAACTAAGTGTAACCGCGGTCCGCAGTCGGTATTGAACTGAATAAGCATGATAACTAAGTGTAACCGCGGTCCGCAGTCGGTAGTGAACTGAATTTGCTAACAATTGATGAAGTGTAGTTTAGGTTTTCAAGTGGTTCTTGGGCTCCATACTGTATTGCGGAAGATTTACCTATATGACAAAGAAACAGTTTGAGTTAGTTTCACAGAAAGTGATGCGCATAAAATGAAAGGTTTTGGTTTAGTATTTTTTCAAGTTATTTACCTGTTCCTGGGTGTCCAAGAAAGATAGTGTAGAGGTTGAGCGGCTGGTTGTGGGATGCTGTTTCAACTACTGCCTTTCTGTTGGCCATCACGAATGCACTTGCAGTTAAGAGTGAAGGAATGAAGTAGCCGTCACAGCTTCCAACTGATGTGGCCTTGTTTTGGATAAATTGGTAGACCGCCTCTGGGAAAAGGTTGTCGTACTTGAACTGGACATCATTCAAACGCTTTTGGAGGTTGATCCATGTCTGTTCGTTTTGTTTGTTGAGTTTACTAACAGAGTACATTTTGATCGCAGTTAAGCGGCCGGAGCAGTTGACAAGACGGTGAACGAGAGTGTAGTGTTATAGCAGGCTAGGTCTGTTTATAGGTGCACGGCAAAAAGGCAAAAAGGGGTTTAATGATGCATTGAATAATAAGTCTATCAACCAATAAACAAAGAAAGCAGCCTTTAAACTGAAGTGTAATAGGTGCGAACAATACTTGTGTTAGCATGAACCAATTATAAACAACAGCATGCGGCTTATTAAAGAGGGATGTGACTTGTTAAGTGGGACAATAGAAATTGTTAATTAAAGCAGGCATTAGTGATGAGGGCCAAGCATTGTTCAAAATAGGTTACGTTGAAAACCGTTATTTTTAATACTGGGTTATTTGAGAACGAGATAGTTTATAGCATTGTTCAGAAGCGTTAAGTTTATTACTAGGTTCGTTAAAGAACGAGATAATATTACAAGTGCCGCTAAAGTGAGAGAGGTGATTATTGTGCACAAAGAGTGCTATTAGCGGGCTAGGTCGGCTGAAACCTTTTCGGCAAATGTGAAAGAAGTTAATTATGCATCGAACAATTGTAGTTGTGATAACACAAGATGGTTCTTACACCGTAAATATGTGAAAGGAGTTAACTTATATGGAGTTAATCTTATTGCTTTTACTTTGAGTAAGGAGTAACGTCCAAAACGTAAAGAATTATCTCTTTTGGATAAAAAATGATGTTTTTATCACAACTGTTTCTTACGAATAACCGACGCTGCTAGTTTCTATCCATTGAACGTTAAGCAAAACAAAGAAAGCAGCCGCAAACTGAAGTATAATTGATAGAGTTATAAGCTGATGTAAAATGAACGACAAGTGTTGTCAAGCGTCTTTGGGGCGAGTTTTGAAGTGCAACAAGGGATGTCAAACAACAGTACAAACTAAGGAAGGGTCAACTCAATGCGATAAGCAAAAATCAAGTTATTGTCGCAGTATTCGCAAGAATGGAGGCAATTGGAAACATGTAGACGTTCTTGAACTAACTAAAAGCACGGAATCACTGTCAAAATGGTTGAGAGGTGAAAGTCTTTTACGCAAGACGTGTCTGTGCCCTCGATGCGGAAAAGAAATGAAAGAAATAGAATGCAAAGACAGATCGGACCAAAGGAAATGGCAATGTCAAGCACAAATCGACGGTAAAAGACACAAGGTAGAAACGACAATCAGAAAAGACAGCTGGTTCGAAAGAGGGAACTTGAGTTTAGCGGAAATGGTCCAGATTACGTATTGGTGGACGCGGAACGTATCTCAAACACAAATGCGTCATGAAATGGAGTTGTCAACGAACAGCAGTGTAGACTGGTATAACTATTGCAGAGAAATATGCGAAGTGGTATTAATGGAGAGCGAAGAGAAAATCGGTGGACCTGGTAAGACAGTTCAAATCGACGAGAGTAAATTTGGCAAAAGGAAGTACCATCGCGGGCATCACGTAGAAGGACAGTGAGTATTTGGAGGCATTGAGGACGATAGTAGGAACAACTGTTTTTTAGTGGCTGTTGAAAAAAGAGACGAAGCAACCCTTCTTCCGATCATAAAGGAGCACATTTTGCCGGGCACAACAATTGTCTCTGACTGCTGGAAGGCATATGTAAATCTAGAAAAGAACGGCTACATTCACAAAACAGTGAACCACTCAAAAGAGTTTGTTAACGGCGAGGGAGACCATACCAACAGAATTGAAGGACACTGGAGACAGGCGAAGTGCAAATTGCCAACTTTTGGAGTTAGGAAGCACTTATTCTCATCTTACTTAGCCGAGTTTATATGGAGATATAAACACAGAGATGATGATTTATTTACAGCTTTTTGGAATGACGTCAAGAAGGTATATTTAATTGAATGAAGAGCGAACTACAATAAT